TGTGGCTGATCTTGTTCCCGATTCTGGAAGGTCTTTGAGTAGGGCTAGTGACAATCGTGGAACTGATCATCCTCATCTCGTAAAGTCACAGATCTTTGACGCACTTGTTCAACCTCGCTAGTGGGCATAGATCCTCAGCCATGCGAGAAGGAAACAAAAATTAAACCCTAAACCCCTAAACCCTGATCCGGAAGCCCTTGGCATGTCCGAAGTTGGAGGCCTCCCTGCTCCCCTACAACGAGGGAGCGCCCCGGTTTTCCGAGCCTCGTCACCTTTCCTCAGTTGGAACCTGCTTAAGGGGGGGGGCTTAGTATAGGGTTTAGCGCAAAAGGTTTGGGGTGTGGCGTTTCGGTATTAGGTCCAATAGATTTTGAAGCATAGGGGTTGAGGTTTAGGGTATTGGGTCTTTGATGCAAGCCTTTCTGTCTAGTTGCTTCGGGTTTTTTTGCTGGATTCTGAGAGGTATCGGATTTGGGATCGACGCCAAACCCCGAAACCCGACAGTCAATAACCCCTATAAACCCTGCAACCTTCACGTAGGAAGGCTCAAAGAACCCTAGGCCCTAAGCCCTAAACGGTCTAGGCCTTAGGGTTTAGGGTTTAGGGTAGCCCTTCTATGTAAAGGAACTCTGAGACTTCTGAGGCCTGTTTAGATTTCAGGGGTTTTCAAGCTTTGAGCGCAGAATAGCCAGGCAATCCTGAAGGCCTGGCTTCAGGATTGAAGCTTTGAGATTGGGGCCTACTTAATTTTTGCCAATACTATTTTTTTTTTTTTGGGGGGGTGGGGTTGCTTGTCAGAACTCTTATAGTATACTGCACCCGGAAAACTATTCTATCCATTAAGGCCGCTATGTTATAGTCTAGGGTCAGGGTTGCGGGTCCGAGCGAGGCAGGTCAGAGAGGACGGGGGGTCCTGGATTGCGAGGAACTCATCCGCTTTATGGCCGAGAGCGGGTTTGAAGTCGTGGATGTCGCCGATGCCACCTTCTCCGAGGATGGGCGGATTTTGCCCGTCTGCGATGATGCACGACGCGAGCGAACCACGATGACGATCGTGAAAAACCATGTCTGCCGCCGTTACTATTTATTCGCTTGCTGATTCTTCGTGGCAGGCGTTGAGTAAGTTTATGTTGGTTGCTATGCCATCTATGCTCTTGTTGGCAGAAGTCCATCGTCATTGCTTGACCCCGTTCGGAGTTGCACGATTTGACGTGTTTTCTATATTTCCATGGGCCATTTTGGCTCAAGAATTCGGTTATAAGCATAAAGCATGCAGCAGATTCAGTTATGTACTATGGATGTTCGATAGCAAGTAGCAGTTTCACAGGTCCACGTTGGCCTTGTGCATGCCATTGACTTTCGTTGATGTCTAGTTCAGGCTCCCCCAGCTCGTGAGTGTATCCCGATTGCGACTCTCACATGGGGAAGTCAGCGGAGGCCACTGTCCAAGAGGTCGATGCCACTGCCTTTCACCTTTTGAATGCCGATTTCAAAGGGGTCAATGCCTTCTGCGAAGGAGCGAATGCACTTTGCGAAAAGACCTTGGGCGTTTCTCGTGATGCGTTGCTGCAGTGCAGGCGTTTGCGGCTCGTCGCGCGTTTGGCAAAGGTCCTGCGACTGCTTTCTCAGCCAGGGGAGCGGCTGAGCAATGCGGCTCGCGATTGGGCCAAGACGCCCAATATCGACACACTCCTGGCAGTTCGGGACATCGGCTTGGAAGAGGGTCCAGCCTCGCGTGCAGCAAGCGCAGATCGGCTCCCCCGCGAGGTCTTCCAAGCAGCGCGCAAGCTGAGCCGTGAAATGCTGCCGAAGCATGTCGAGGAGGATCCCATCGAAATCGCCTCCAAAGACTCGCAGGCCTCTACAGTGCCGGGAGAAGCTTCCAGGCCGGCAGAGTCGAGCGAGGACCGAGGTTTGAAGCGATACAAGCCGGGCAAGCCAGGGCAGGGAGAAGGATCTGCAGACCAAAGGCCTTCTCGCAGTGGCCCCAACATCTTCGATGACCCCTTAGTCAGCGAGCTGCCTGCCTCCGAAGACGGTCGGCGGTCGAACAAGCGAGTGCACTCTTTTGCGCAGCTGTTGGATGGCGACACCAGCGTGGCACAAGGGGGAGCCCCGAAGTTGAGGAAGGAATACAGTGCCTGGACTGAAGGAGAAGAGCAGCGTCTGCTCGAAGGCTTTCGGATTTACGGAAAGCAGTGGAACATGATTTCCAAGAGCTGTGGCCTCCAACACAGGAATGGGATGCAGATCAAAGACAAGTGGCGGAATCTACAGAAAAAGGGGCTGGTGCCGGCGCGCGAAGGCAAGGATGGCCGATCGGAAGTGGAGGACTGAGGAGGAGTCGCCCTTCTGAGCACGGCAGACAGGGCCGAGTTGAGAGCAGCTTTTGTTGATTTTTTGTGCAAGGTTGAGATGTGAAATGCTTCCGTCAAGCAATGCTTTCCGAACTCGGCATTGAATGTCCTGTTTGACCCCATAGGCGTGGGAAAGCTGCGCCGGATGGGCTTTGTCAACCTGCCATTGTCTCAGGAAGCCTTACTGGCACACCCCAATGTCGGGGCTCGCTTATTTGTATCGTGTTGTTTTGAATCAGTAGCCCTGGCCTAGCCGTGAAGCCCTCATGATCTTGCACGTACTGCCGGTCCCTGTCATGGCACTTATCTAGTCTAGTCATCTAAACCCTAAACCCCAATATGGCCCTTCCGTACATGGTAGCAAAGGGCCGCGACTGGGTCCGCTGCCTTTGACTTGCTGGGGACTTGCGGGATTCTTGTAATGTAGGAGTGGTTCAGCAGTTGGGTTCTTCTTAGCCATGATCTTACTTGGTTTGGATTTCGTGAGCCGTGTCAGTTGTCATCCCGCACGTCCCTGTGGCCAGCTGCCGTTATGAGACTCGTGTGTGGATCCGTGCCTGCCTGTGCGAGTGTGTGTGCGTCGAACCCCGAAACCCGAAAAGCGTTCAGAGCCCAGAGGATGTGGCGCGCATACTGCAACTGGACCTGCTCTTCGCTCCCACGCGGTCGCCACTGCTGCAGAGGCTTACCACAAACACCCACTATAACGGACCAAAAGGGCTCTGTTAAAGGGCACTTGGGGGGTCCTGGCAGGCTGTAAAGTTTTGTCGGCCCTTCTTCCGTGAGCTGGCGTGTCTTGCATGGTGCAGACTCTTTCCGACTGAGTGCTGCTCTCATTGTAGGGCTTTGACCGTTTAAGTGCCGAGGTGCGTGTCTTGCCAAGTCATAGGGTCCTAATTTTGTTTGACAGTCGGCAGCCATGGGCTCCAACCATCCAGTGGTGTTTAACTTGCAAGCAGCGTGATGCCATAGAGAAAGTAGTTCAACCCTTGCCTTACAGAGCCTACAGAATCCATCGAGTTACGCGTGCCTGAACATAAATTTCCAGCCCCACAAACATACCCAAATGTTCAAGAGTCACCCGTTCTTTAGACGGACTCGGCCCATGTGTCCGATGGAAAAACGACGTCGGATCTCTCGACAGCGGCTCCTGTTCTGCCTTTGCCTAGCTCTCGGCGGTTTCGGGCAGTTTGGGAGGCCGGCTGTCTCCTTTACTGGACTTCCTCGTGCAGTGCCGAAGAGATGCCATGGCCGCCTGCAGGTTGGGGTCCAAGGGCCTGAAGATCTGGCGGCATGGGCGGAGCCCGCTTCCACACCCCAGCGACGCTCAGAATGGCAACAACAAACACTTCTCATTTGGGTCGCAGTGGTGGCGCTTTGGACATTTCTAGACTGCGTGGTGGATCCCGGTGTAAAGCCATTCGAAGATCCGGGTAGCTTGCTCAACATTGCCCTGCCCACCTCGGTACTTGTAGCCCCCGGGGCGGCGGTTGCTGCCTCTGCCCAGCTTGCACCGCGACCAACGGGCATTGCCGAAGCCAAGAAGATGAAGACCTGCGCCGTTTTCGTCGGTGATAGCTTGACACAAGGCCCTCAGCGGATAGCAGGCTTAGTTGTAACTTTTACTTTTTCGTAGAAGTATTATTTATTTTTTTGTTCTCTTAAACGTAACTTTTCCTCCTGCCTAAGGACCCCACCTACGGACCCCACCTAGCCCACCTGCCCCGCCAACCTCCACTACCTCACTACCCCTCCTGGCGCGCCTATCCCCACTACCCACCTGCCCCACTGAGCCTCAACGAACCCGGCAGTCAGGCTTGAACCCAGCAGGAACCTTTGCCCGAAGATGAAAATTTTACGGAATTAATCCAGCAGGAACCTTTGACCGAGGACGAAAACCCTAAGGAGTGAATCCAAAGGAGACTTTACCCCAAGATCAAAACCCTAAGTTGTGAATACCCAAGATGAAAACCCTAAGGAGTAATACCCAAGGCGAAGACCCTAAGGAGTGAATCCAGCGGGAAACTTTAACCCAAGCCGAAAACCCTAAGGAGTGCATCCAGCAGGAACCGAAGACGAAGATTCTAAGGAATGAATCCAGCAGGATTGTTTTATCCCAAGACGAAAGCCCTGAGGACTTCCTAAGGAGTGAATCCAGCCGGAAGCTTTGCCCGAAGACGAAAACCCCAAGGAGAAAAGTTAAGACACCATAGAAAGTTAGTGGCTTGGTGCTGAAGACACCGAAGAAATTATAACTACGATGCCTATTTTGCAACGCTCTGAAGAGACTTGCTGTTTTCGGAGCCAAAAAAAGTTACAACTAAGTCATTTTGCTGAAAAAGCTGAATAGTTACATCTAAGAGAAAAAGGTCACGCCTGAGTGTTCTATCCTCTAAGCCTTAGACTCTAAGCGTCAGAAAACCAATGTAGTACATACTGTCTATCTTTCCATCTATCTATCTATCTACCTATCTACCTATCTACCTATCTACCTACCTATCTATGTATCTGTCTATCTATCTATCTATCTATCTATTTACTTATCTACTTGTCCTTATCTCTTTATTTATCTATCTATGTATGTATCGATCGATCGATCGATCGGTCTATCTATCTATCTATCTATCTATCTATCTATTTACTTATCTACTTGTCCTTATCTCTTTATTTATCTATCTATGTATCGATCGATCGATCGATCTATCTATCTATCTATCTATCTAGTTGTTTCTTAGTTGTTAGATATTTAGCATTTAGACATTTAGCCCCTCTACCCAACACTGTTACTTGGACCCCTTGGGAGGTACCCTCTCGGCCAACGTTCTTCAAGTCCTTGAGTCGCGCTGCCAGAGAGATCTTGGTGCCTTTGTAAATGCTGGGCGAAATTTCCGGGCGTTGAGCGAGACTTGGCCATTCTTAGGTTGCCCCAAAGACGCCTCGCTTATGAGCATGGAACTCGGCCATGCGAGAGGGAAAAAACCTTTTCAAAGACACCCCAAAACCCTAAACCCTTTCAAGGATACCTTGGAGTCCGATCTTTTGGAGGAGGCGTCTGCCCTGCAGCCAAGCCATGGCTTGGTTTTGCTGCTTGGAACCAATGACCTCATCCGCTGCTTGGTAGTAGAGTTATTTGGAGTACCATAATACCCAAAAGAATCTCTACTTTGGTGCACTGGAATCCCCAAAACTGAATCCCTAAGGCTCCAGGCTCCAAAATCCTGGACAAGTAAGGCTACACAGCCGTGGCAGGAGCCTTCCGGGTCTCCGAGGAAGACTGGCTGGCAAGCTACGAAGGGCAGCTGCAGCAGGCAGTCAGCCGCATTTCTCGAGATTTCCCAGTGCTGCTCGCGTCGCCACCCCCTTTAGGAGAAGATCTGAACTCAGAGGAGGCGCGCCTTGGTGCGTCTATGGCAAAATCAGTGCGCCGGGTCGCCGAGAAGAGCGAGTGCATCTATGTGCCCCTTTTCGAGGCCTGTGCTGACCACTTGAACCAGGCAGCCTCAAGAGGGAGTTTGGCAGCCAAGTCCCGAGCATATTCCTTGGGTGAGTCTCTGCTGCTCCTTTGTGCGCTCCCCTGGCGGCTCTATGCTGGAAGTGGCGAAAGTTTGCAGCAGATCCAAGAGGCATCTGGGTTGGAACTGACAGTGGACTTGGTGCACTACGGACCTGTCTATGGCGACATAGCTTCAAGGCTCTTCATCCAGAAGTTGGGGATCACACCGTCAAACTGACCAGGAGCTTTTCCCTCAGTCGATGTCGTATGCTTTCCTCTCATGGTTTCGTCTATATACGTATACACGCACACACTCTTTCACACGCAATTATGTAAATATACATACATGTATATATGTATGTATATGTATGTATCTATGTATGTATGTATCTGTATATCTGCAATGTACATACTGTGCCACTCCCTCTGCATGGTCGCCGCCAGTGTCTGAAAAAGGCACTCATTTGGGTTGCAACCCTGCGTGGCCCAGTCCCTAAACGGAGAGAGACCTGTTGACAGATGTATTTTTTGGAGGCTTGAGTGGAAAGGCATAGTTGAGCAGTGCAGCTGCAGATTTCGACTTTCAGGGTCTCGCGACCACACAGGCAATCTATCCTTTCGCAAATGTCTGCCTGCTTCTCAGGGTGCTTGCCAAGCTGTTTTTCGTTGGGTCGGCTATTGCTTGTTTGGTTCTTTGCAGGACGGCTTTGCCTGTGCTTTTACACGGATCTAAGAAACATGGAAGCAGTCTTTGTTTGTGCTAGAAGTCGTCTTGACATGACTTCATGTACTTATTCCCACGGTTGTTCTTCCAGCGCAGGCGCGAGAACATCAGCAGTTCAGGTCCTGAGCAGATCTCTCAGACAAGCCCCACACAGGATTGAAGGGTCGTTCCTCAACGCGCAACCCTGACAGTCATAGCTTCCTACGATAAGCCTTTCCAGACCAAGCCTTCCCAACCCCTCCACACCCTGAAAGGCCCTGTTTGATTGAGCCCGGTCTCCTTCAAAAAGAAGCTGGGACTAGATACAACAACCATGGCCTGGAGGCTCTAAGACTTCAGCAAGCCCCTAACCCTAAGCAAAACGTAGGTGTAGGGTCCAAATCCGATGAGCTGGAGCCTTGAACTCCAAAATTTCACACATAGTGTTCGAATGTGTTTGGTATACATGGTCTTTTAATGTGTTATGGTTGAATATTCAGGCCTGTATATCATAGAATCCTAGAAGCCCTCTTGCCACGGTTGTAGGCCGCTGCCGGGCGGAATCCGCCCTGCGCCGCAGCGCCCCGACGTGGCGGCAGAGCAAGCGGGCGAAATGAGCTTGTGGGACTGCTGAAATACTGTAGTGGATGTAATGAGCGAAAGCATGTCTTAGCTGTTTGAACGAAAGCAAAACAGGAACGTTATGACACAAGAGACCCTTTCAGTTCATCACAGTTTCGTTGTTACTTTCAACTCGTATTTGGTATGTTTGTAACTTTCGTTTTTTTCATTAGGAGTTAACTTCTAATTTGTACTTTGGGTTCCTTCGTTACATTCAAACAAACTTAAGCCTTTTTTTCGTTATCTTGGCCGGGTTCGCTTGCTCATATTTTCCTTTGCAGAATCATATTATGAGGAGCATGTAATTAGGCTAAGCAAACTGCGAGAGGTTTCATTTTTTCAGCATCGATCTGGCGACAGTCTTCAACCAGTCGGTCGAAAGACCTACAGCAGCAGGGCACATGAAAGACGAGAGTCAGAGAGGCAGTTCAGATCATCTGACAACAATACAGTTTAGAAAGTCGAACACTCAGCACCGACGGAGAGCTTCAGAAATACTAGAGAGGTTACTAATTATGTCGGTGGGTAACCCCTATACAGTTTAGCACGCGATACTTCAAGTCCTTTAGCTTCCATCCTAATCTGCGCACTTCCTCCCGCGAGCGGCCATGGTGGGCACAAGCTGCCTGTGGTCTGTGCTCCTGCTTGGAGCAGCCCGGCTGAAGCTTCGGGCGCAGGGTCTGCATCGTTTAGGGTTCGGGGTTCAGGGTTTCAGGCTGTGCAAGGTTTTCACCTCAGGGAGGGCTGAAGGGCTTAATGATTTAGTGACGTGCCGTGGGGAGGAGTCTCGTGGCGCCTGACAGGCGTCTGAGTGCCCTGGAGAGAGAGAGAGAGAGAGGCTTTGCACGGGGAACATGGCACACACTGTGGCAAACCGTGGAAGAATCACTCACCATCGCTCCTTGACAAGGCATGCCTTGGCGGTGTTATTTGCTTTATCGGGTCCTTGTAGTTTGAGGTTTTTCACTCTTCGGGGGAAGAAGGCCGAGGTATGTGAACCCAAGTTCCTGCGGGTGTGCCACTGATACACAGGAAGTATAACATTCAATCGTGCGCTATGATCACATTTAAGCTGACTTACTGGTGTTCACACCTGCAGGTCATGTTTTCACAGTCTCAAAGCCCCATCAGAAATGGGGGGAGCCCATGAGGCCGGGGGACCTAAACAGTGCCTCATGCTCGGACCTCCTGAAGCCATGCCTGCCTGCGTGCGAGCGTGTGAGTCGAAACAGTCCCTCATGCCCTGTGAAAGAGAGAGAGAGAGAGAGACTTAGTCCCTAAACCCTGAATTTAAACTCTAAACCCCTAAACCCCTTACACGTGGTGGAGAGGACAAGTTCTTTTTCCCATGACATAGACCGGTAGAACCTTCGGAGGCGAAGGTCTGGTCTTCATGTTCCAGTCGCTCTCATCCTCTCTTTCATCCTTGGCAAGCAGAGAAATGCCATGTCGATTTTGCACTCGTAGGCCGTCGAATCTGCATGCCAAGGAGACGACTTGGGGGAAGGTCTACTTCTCCGAAACCTTCGATGATTCTTGGGCCAACCGATGGACGTTGAGCACGTGGAAGGACAGTGAGAAGGCCCGCAGGGACAAACAATTGCGATTGCTCTCCGTTTGTTGGACAGCCACGTAATACTCAAACTCATGTAGCTCGCAGTACCGGACCGAAAGCAGTTAATATGGACTTTCATGCACCGGTCAGAATCGCTGTGTTGACAGTAACCTTAGCGTTCACACTTGCCCCACTCCGAAGAAAGAGCTGCAATTTCATACCACTGCCAGCAGTGGTAGACACGATGGTCGCTAAACAACAGCCCGTTTAGTTTGTACTGCTTCAGTGGCTTTGGGTTTCAGGTTTAGGAATGTCGGTCTCCGCCAAGATGATTACAGGTCATGGTCTGGCAAGATTTGGGTCCAGTAGCAGCAAAAGGTGTAGGACTGTGTACATTGTAAAGCGTAGACCCAGATCACTTCCGGGGTTTGGCTTTGGGATTCCGAAACTTCTGCGACATTTGATCGGGAAAAATGGTACAAACTCCGTAGGCCCCCAAACGGAAGGAGAGCCCCAAAGCCCTAAACCCCTTAATTTGATTAGCCTGTTCAAGCGTGTCCGCGCATATCCCATAGTGTAAACGGCCCTAAACCCGGAAGCTGCATTTTCTTTTCCAAGTTCCTAATACTAAGAACCCCCCCCCCAAGGTGATGCTCAATGCCCAGAAATCAGTGACAATGGAACTACTAAGATCAAGACCTTGCGCTACAACTACAAGAACCAAAGAGACAAGAACAACAGACAAAAAATATAATAAGATAACCGCTAATGTCACAGGTGTTGAAAGTTGAGCACGCCTTCGAGGGATTTCGAGGGATTTTCGCAGCCGCCCGGGGTAGCGGGTTCTGAAAAATATGTTTGTTCGGCGACCCCCCTAATCAAGCATAAAACCCCCTTTTCCTGCAAAGTTCTATAGACCTAGATTTCTGAAATCCTTAACCGCGAGGAGAAGATGGGTAAGTGGGTACTGTCCTCCGGGCGATTCTTCGCAGACTCACTGGAGGATCGAGGCCACTCGTCGAAACCAGACCGAAGCCCTGAAGGGCTTGCGCTTTACGGCTTCACGGGCTAATGACTTCCGATGTAGAGGTCTTAGGGAGTTTAGTGTTGCGGCTTTACGGTTCAGGACTCCAAAAAATGAACGGCTGTAGGGTTTTAAGAAGCTTAGCGGTGAGAGTGCCCGAGGGTGTTGCGCTTGAGCCAGGTTCAATAGTCTGTTTGGTAGACTCGACAGGCCGGGTGCACAAAAAGGAGTAGGGTAGGGACCCTTACCTTCTAACTAGTTCTCATAGTAACAATAGAAACAATACGAATAAAAGTAGTAATCGTAGTAATAGTAGTAATAATAATAATTATTATAAAGTATCCAGAAGAGCTGGATGGCTGCCAGTCGGAGTTTGTCCACACCAGCCTTGTGTTTGGTACACTCACGATTACGCTTTGGTGTAGCTGCATATGAACGGCATGATAGAGATACATGCACATGAATGCATGCATTCATATGTGCATGCATGCGTACAAAGCCCATCTTCCTACACCCGCATGATTTAACAAGCACACGCAGGCTGCTTTGCCAGACTGTTGATTGGCACACTAAAGTGAGAGAGACGGATAGTTCAGACTAGGAATGCACGCGTTAGAGTATTAAACATACGTGCATTCTCTCTCTGTCTCTCTCCCTCTGTCGCTTGATCCGTCCATGCTTCCAGTCTCTGGACACTCTCCCAGCAAGATGGCTCTTGAACCACAGCGGGCTTGCATCAGAAAAGACTTGCAGAGAATCTCAGGATTGCAGACAGCAGAGATCATGAAGCGACCCGGCTCAAAGAAAGCTCTGATTCAAGGTGAACACTGATGATCCTTCAGCAATTGGCCCCAACCCTGCTGGCTAGAGTCACATAGTTGGCCTCCCTGAGAGTGGAGGGTTCAGACGCTGAGACCAACATGTGTGCCCGATGAAGAGACTCTGCTACTTTGCAAGGCCTCCCAGTGCAAATGGATCAAGTCAGACATGCGTACCTTTCCAAAGAGGCTTGGAGTTTAGGGTTTAGGCTCCAGTCCAAACGTCAATGAGCGGTTGCCCGGAACCCCCGAGTTCTGGACTGCCTAGCAGACCCTGTCAATGCAGGATGCAAAGTGGCAAAAGCAAAAACAGCTGAGGTTCTATGGTGTTTCTGCTGCTTTTGAGCCATTCAGCAACGAAGGCAAGGAGCTCTTCATCCAGTACCAGGCCAAGTACGCAATGCGGCTGCAATGCTGACATGCTGACTAGTCCTTTGCCTTGAGGCCTTGAGGGTTGTAACATGTAGACTCGTGACTACAGTCATTTCTGTCAGGAGAGCTTTGGAATTTGAATGTTTCCGATTTTTGGGTGAAGGGCTGATTTTATCGCACTCATTCGGCGAGTAGCAACAAGTGCAAACATCCCAAACCGCCCCAAACCTCTACACTGATGATCGCGACGGTATACTGACATCCTTTACATCGAAGCTTCGGGCATGCAGTCCTAGGTTCCTTTGCAGTTACTGAATAGATGTCCTCTAGCTCGGAATCCCGGCCCAGACCCTTCCAAGGAGAAGGATCTGGGATGCGGTGGTGGCTACCTCAAAGTGGGTCCAAAGCAGGAGGATCGAACCCTGGGTTGTCAGACCGGTCTTAAACACGGTTTTAGGGTTTAGAGTTTAGGGAGTCTTAGAGCCTGATTGCGTGGTCTGTGAGCCCATCTCGATCCAAGCAAGTTGGCTTAGCTGGGACTATGCAAATGAGCCCTGGAAGCTAAGCACATGCCATGAGGAACACAGCGGCAAGTTAAGACCCAAAGTGATTGAGCTGTCGCCCCAGCTCTGAAAAGAGACTTCATCGAAGTTGCAGCGTCATGCTTTCCACTCATCATGTGTGTGTGTGTGTATGTGTGTGTGTGTGCTGTATGTGTGTCTGTCTGTGTGTGTGTGTGTGGGGGTTGCGTGCATCTCTCTCCAGGTTGTACATCTTGGGAACTGTCGGAAAGAAGGTAAAGAAAGGACCCTAATCCAGACCCTGACTGAATAATTAGAATGTCTTGATTGCAAGAAGCCTAAACCCTAAACCCTAAAGGCACCCTTCGAACCTAGAAGCCATGTCGATGCTCGTGCAGGATCTGACCTCATTCGGGGAGCCCACGCCCTACCACATTATGTCTCTCAGCTTCAGCTCTAGGAACTTGTGGTTCTCGAGTTAGGACATGTTAGGACCCAACATTTGACACAGAAAATACACCGATGCCTCCGGGGTGGAGTTCAGCTGATGCAAGTGATTTTGGTGGCTGTAGGTTGCCCGTGGATCTTTGCACACGCAATTCCCCCCCCCCCCCTCCGGCCGATATCGGCTTCGCCGCGGACCACGTCTACATTGAGGTTTAGGGTTTAGGGTTCCTCTCAGCTGCACAGGATCAGAGCCTGGGTTCAAAAAGCGGCTCCTCCCTGAAAGGTTCGGCCCGGACCAGTGCAATGCTGACAAGAGGACCCACTTGATCTTTAGCTATCGAGGCCACGGGAGGGCATCGAAAGTCATCCGGGTTCTTGCTAAGGGTTTAATTTAACGTACTATCATAAAGAAACCACAGTATTTACTGTAGAGATCCCTATTATGGTAACTTAAACTTAAATTCCTTAACAAGAACCCAGCCATGGGATCAGGGCTGCCATTCTCGCGGCCTCATAATCCCTACATGATATTAATATAAAGCAATATCTACACCAAAACCCGAGTATTCATTATGAGGCTTCTTCATACTATTGCTTTGTCGGAGCCCTGAGTCAGGGAAGAACTACCTCAAAAAGTCGGAGCTGCCTTACAAGCAGGAAGGAGCTTCAGCTGAGGAATGTAGGGTTTTAGGGTTTGGGGATGTTTAGGGGGTTTTAGGGTTTTCGGGCTAGGGATGTTTAGGGTTTTTAGGATTTTGGTTTACGGGTTTGTAAGAAATTTTGGCTTCAAGGGACCAGGGATGAGGTCTCGTGGCGTTATCAACTCGGCGTTCCTGTGTTTCCGTCCCGTTGCTTGGGGAGTTTGGCTTCGGGGAGTTTGGATGCCTGGCATGGGGCCCTCAAGCTGCCCTCACTCAGACCGCGAAGTCCGAGCCCTACCTTCGTACATGTCTCCCTTGAATGTCCTGGACTCTCAGATAAGCCGGGGCCGTGACCAGAGCCTACCGTGTCAGCTGGCGTAGTCGGATGGGGCTTTATGTTGGACCAGACCCAGATCACCAACAACCCCAACTCCCGATGCCTGACAGGCTGACAGGACCCCAATCTGAAAGCTTGAAATCCCAAAGCCGATGAATCCGAAGTCAGAGCCCCACGGCGCAACCCAAGCGCTCGCAAGCGAGAACCAATGCCGATAAGACTCCCCCAAGAGCCAAAACCCCTTTGTTAAGGAACATACCCCAAAATCAGAAAAGGAACGAAGCCCCTTATAAGTTAAACTACATGTCTCAACTACGGGGTATTCTGCTCTCTGGGTCCATCCGAGGTGAAGGCGTCTCTCACCTCTATCGACTGCACCTGAAGCCGGACAACTCCGTTCGAGTTGAGGCCTACGGCGGGGATCTGAACATTCAGTCCCTATGATTATACGATGCTACATTCCACAACCCTGTTCGAATCAGGAAGGTGCAAACCCTGCCAAACCTGAAAAACGGATAGTACCTCCCGAGTTATTATCCATGTCGTTTGGTTGCGTGCGACGCTTTTCGCCAATGACGAACTTTTAAGTCTTTCCGACAGGTTTGAACTTTGACGTCCTTGCGTAAAGGGGGAAACAAGACTAGCAAGACGAGTTGTTTTAATAATGAGGGTACAGTGATGTACAGTGTTTGAAAGGGTTCAATATGTTTCCTTCAATGTTTTTCATCAGGGTCGGAGGGTTCAGGGCTTTATGTTTGGGTATTCCCGGTTCTTTTGCAACAAACGTGGAAGCTCGAGGGGACCATAGCAATAGTAGTACTCATTTGAAGGCACGTGGTATATTTTTTGCAGGAACAGGCGTGTTGCGATTGAGCATCGTTTGCACAACCTGCACTGTGCACATGTCATCACAGCCGAGCGAGGCTTTGCCAGAATAGGATGACTTGCGAATGTCTGGAGAAGCTGCAGCATACCCTAAACCCTAAACAAATCACTCAAATAGTCCATAAAAATATATATCATGCTAGACCCTAAACCCTAAACCCAAAGAAGCGGCCGACCCACACTTGACCCCATGAGCAGGAAGTGTCTTTCAGGCATCGTAGCGGCCCACGGACGACCCAAAGGCGTCTGAGATGGCCCAACCCCAGGCACCAAAGCCTAGTCATAGGGTTTAGGGGTTTAGGGTTTAGGGCCTAGTATAGGTGCGTAACGAGTTGCCGCTACTAGGGGGTTCCTTGTTATTTTCTCCCCTCCCCGTCGAAGCAGGTGGACGGGGAGCAGATCTACGAAGGATCCTTGAAGGAACTCGGCTGTCGAAATGAAGCTACATGGATATTTATGTGCACCCTAGTTCAGGGTGCAGGTCACTTCGGCACCAGTAGGCAGTGGATTTATCCGAGCAATGATGCCGGCAGTACCTATCGAAGGATTACCAATCCCGAGAGAAAGACACACACCTTCTCGGATAATTAGTCGCTGCGGACTCATGGCCAACAGGACTCCTAGAAAAACACGGCCCGGGAGGCTGAAAAGTGTGGCCCTTCCAGAATTTGGAACCCCTAAACCCTCAACCCTCCACTAGGGTTTAGGGGTTTTGGGGGGTCCCGTTTAAAGGGTTCCTTACAGGGTTCTATAAGGGCTGCTATAAGGGTTTAGGTAGGGTTTAGGGCACTCCCCTCGGCCCTGGAAGCTCCCCGCTGCTTCGGACTCGGCCGCCCCTGGGAGGACGACTGGGACATGCTCCCGGCGAAAGAGATAGCGGATCCCAAGGACAAGAAGCCCGAAGGATGGGTGTCTTGGAGGAAGAAGACAGTACTCGGTTTAGGGGTTTAGGGTTTAGGGTAGGGCGCTTGGAAGTTCATGGTCTCGTGCTGGCCGAAAGAACACAAGTAGTGCTTGGCTTCACCATGCCATGATTATGGTGCTTACGCAAACGTCCGTGAGCCACATAACAGCTTTCCCTATAAGGCTCTAAGGCGTGTTGCAGGCTGTTCGTGACGTTGTGCAGCTTTCTTTTAGCTTATAGAGGATTGAGACTTCGAGTTGTTCTGCGGCAAGGATTCTAGGAAGTTTGGGGTGTCCGAGTGTGAGGCAGTTTGCAAAGTGAGTCCCCATTTGACGGCACGGCACCAGATGCTTACGTGAGGGCCTAAAAACTGAAGCAATTAAACCATGGGTAGAGATATCCCGTCTAAACCACTTGTGGTTAAGCTAAGCCCCCCAAAAGTAAGGATTTCCGTGTAAGGAGCTTATGCTCATGTCTTTTGGGGGGCCCTGTGCACGCGTGGAGCGTCAACAGCAACAGATTTTCTACCATATATCGAGCTCGGGCGGGAAGGTGGTCGAGGTTTTTGGGTATCAGCACCGAGACTTCTCGTCCCTAGGCCCTAGCATCCCTGCGCTCTTAAGATTGTAACATATCCCCGAATGCAATGCCCTATTCTCCCCTAAAACCTGCGGAAATTTTAGGCTCTCCACTCTTCTATTCGGAGTGATAGCGAAGTTAAACACCAATAGTGTAGAGCCGTGATTGTGAGATGTGACATGTAGTAGTATATAGTAATATAGAGCAACTTAGAGTAACATAGAGTGATATAGAGATATACAGAGGAACATAGAGTCATAGAGTGAGTCATAGAGTCTAGTAAAATACAATAGAAAGGCCGAGTATCTATCCCATAACAATTCACGCCTACTGGCACATACCGGTACGAAGCCACACCTCAACCCTAACCCTAAACACCCAACCCTAAGCTGGTCCCAAACCCTAAGCCGTAAGAGCAACAAGAATAACACTAATAATAGCAATCATGAAAAGAACACTATAATAGTAGTAGCAATAAGAATGCAAGTTTGCGAAGGTGGACAAGGAGAAGATCCCAGATCCTGGCGACGCCAAGCCGAAGGACTGGGCCACAGAGGCAAAGATCGTCGACTCCGCAGCTAAGAAGCCCGAGGAGAGCTGCTCATTATTGTTTACGATTATTATTATTATTCACTAATATTATTATTGTTATTATTATTATTACTATTATTATTATTACTACTACTATTCTTGCTTTTATGATTGTGATCAGAATAATGAGTACTACTAGTTTTACTATTCTTTGTTAATGGGGCGGATAGGTGCAGAGGTCTGGGGGTAGAGTCTGGGGAAGCCGGCCACTGCATGAACGAATGTATATCCTGTTGCTGTGTATGCAGAGAGGAAGGCAAGACAATAACAATAATCATCTCAATAACCAAGGTAATTATCATTAGCATCATCATCATGATAGTCTCCCCTGGGAGTCCCAATATTCTCTTCGTATGAAATACCCGGAAGCCCTAGTCTGATCATTCAGGCCCCTCATGGCCCCTCTATCTCGAGACTCCTGGGAGGAGTGGGACGACGATGAAGATGGAGAGTGGGAACCTCCGAAGATCGACAATCCAGCCTTCAAGGGCGAATGGTCTCCTCGAATGATCGCTAATCCGGCGTATAGCGGAAAGTGGATAGCCCGGATGATTCCCAATCCTGATTTTGTCGACAACCCGGACCTGTACAAGTATGACAACATTGGCTATGTAGGCGCGTCATCCTGTGGCACCTGCGTAGTTGAAACCGCGGCCACCGGTCATCAGCTGTTGTTGCTGTTGTGGCTGGAGACGAAAGCTGTGCATTCCTGCATCCACACGCTGAGGGTTTGAAACGAGGACATCATCTCGCGATAAAAACGAGTATGAAAAAGACTACGGTAACGATGATGAGGAAGAAGATGATGTTCCGGATCTAGTGACTGCGTTTGATGATTCTGATGATGTTGACAATGACGGTGGGGATCAGAAGTTACCATAGGTACAACCGCGATGACGTTGATGATGATGATGATGATGATGACGATGATGACAATGATTGTGATTCTACTGAGGATTGCTAGTCTGGGTGCTCTTAGCTGTCAGTTTCGTTGTAGTAGTAGCGCAGAAATAGCAGTAGCAGGATGTGTCGTAGCATCGGTATTGGCAGTGGAACTGGTCTTTGGTAGGAACGTGCACGAACGGTGCTCTGCACATGCCCCTGGAGGCTTTGACGTTTGGCAGGTTAAGGGCGGCACCATTTTCGACAACATCATCCTCACTGCATCTCGGTGCTTTCAAAATGCAGGCCGAAACAATTACGATAAGTGTAAGTCTAAACGTATGCCTTGATGTCAGTGCTGAAGGGTGACCGGTCCCTGGATAGGTTGGCTGGGCTCGCCCGAAGTATGTTAGAGGTTTGGGAAGAAACCATCTGCCCGGAGCACTGACTAAATGTTCACCAACTGCATCTAAGGACAGCGCTGCAGAAGCAGATGAGTTTGCCAAGAAGTGGAAGGACACTTTCCTGCATTGGCCTAGCCTCGCGGAGGTCTTTGGACGCTGGAGCACGCGGGGGTCCGAAACCTGTGATTGCCAACAGTATGATTATTTCTACTACTACTACTACTACGACGACTACGACTACTACTACTACTACTGTACTACTACTACTACTGACTACTACTACCTACCACTACTACTACTACTACTACTACTACTTTCACTACTACCACCACAACTACCACTACTTGTATGTGTGTATGTATATATATATATATATACATATGTTTAGACACATGTCCAGATGAACATACACACATGAATATCTCTTTGTGTGTGTGTGCAGGTGTTCATGTTTTAGAGGTCGTATGTGGCACATGAGGGAGCTCCAGATTTAAAGAGTTCGTATGCATATAGTGTTTTACAGACATGTGTACTTATTCGTACATGCATATGTATATGTATGTATAGACGTACGTGTATACACATACATGCATACATGCATACAGACATACAGACGTACAGACATACATACATACATACATACATATATATAGGTATTTATGCATGTAATGTATTTATTATGTATGTATGTATTTATGTGTGTATGCATGTATATGTATATATATATATGTGTGTGTGTGTCTGTGTGCACCTATATATCTATATATCTGTATATGTGTGTGTATGTACGTATATATATATATACATACATACATACATACATATACATATGCCGTTTTCTGCCGGCCGTGTTGTACGTTCCAGGTTCTTCGCGAAGAAGAGAAGGCTCAGATAGCGAAGGCTCCAAGGGTTGCGTGCCCGCACTTGCACATGCTCTCCTACTCTATTTGCTCAAAGGAGAATAATGTGAACAGTTTGGCGCAGCTGTTGCTACAACATGTGCACCTGCTTGCTGCTGCTGGAGATAGCACCGAGATGCACACATTGATCTTTCGGTTGGAATTTGGTGGTATCTCGTTTCGGTCCTTTGTTCTTTTCTTGATTTGTGCTTTCTGGCAGTCGTGGGGAGTCCGGTCCACCTGAGGTTCTGAGCTTGTAGAGTGGTGGCTGAGTTGTGCTTCATGCTTTGACCAGCGAAGCGGCGATGATATTAGTCCCTTAACAACAGATCCCCTAAAGCCTGTAAACTCTTCTCAAACGCCAAAAGCTAGAACGCCTGAAGCTTCAAGAGCCCCCTTCGAAGAAGCCCGGAAAGTCTTATGCAACCTTCCAACCCTAGTGTCATGAAGCCGCAAATCCTTGACGCTTGAAGCCTGAAGCCCCAATATACGGCCCTGAATAATTAGAATAGGGTGTTGGGGCCCGTTATACTATGGTTATAACAAGGAACCTCCAAAGTAGTATTGGTAATTATGTAGGCCCCCACAATATAAACCCTGAAGGAACCTTTAAAAGAGCTACGCCCTATAAGTGCGGAGGCGGAAGCTGCCCAGCAGGAGGCCTTCGAGCTACTCGCCTTCGCAAAGATGTGTTTCAATGTTTTTTGTTTTACATGGTTTAGGGTTTAGGGTTTCGGGCTTAGGGCTCAGGGTTTAGAAATAGGGTTTTAGGGTTGAGGCCCTAAATGTTCTGAACCTGAAGCAAAGGGTATGTAGGCTGTTTTTAGATGGGTGATTTGAATAAATCTCAGGGTTTTCGCATTGAGGCTGCGAAGATGAATTGAAAGATCTTGTTTGTTTTCTCATAAAGGTTATTTAGTTGTTTTAGGGCTTGTTTTTTCGCTGTTGCTCAAAAATCTACCTCCGAGAGTCTAATTATTTGGCGGCAGTTTCTAGAATCAGGAGGCCGCCCAAGGTCGCATTCGAGGATGTGGCCTGTTCGAGATGGTCAGACAGTTTACGCAAACCTGCTTCACATTTGGTGCCGTTGCTGTTTTCGGTGTTCTGCGTTTCCTAAACTACGGGAGTTATGGTACATTCCTGATTATGGGTACTGCAGGATTTATACTAT